ATTCAATAAGATCCTAGCAAACAGAATCCAGCAACACATCAAACAAATTATACAGCATGACCAAGTGGGTTTCATCCCAGGGTCCCAAGGATGGTTCAATATATGTAAATCTATAAATATAATACATCACATAACAAAATGAAAAACAAATACTATATGATTCTCTCAATTGATGCAGAAAAAGTTTTTGATAATATCTAGCATCCTTTCTTGATCAGAACCCTTAAGAAAATAGGTATATACAGAACATTTCTTAAACAGATAGAGGCCATCTACAGCAAACCCACAGCCAATATTGTATTGAATGGAGTTAAACTGAAATCATTTCCACTCAGATCAGGAATGAGGTAAGGTTGCCCATTGTCTCCACTGCTTTTTAACATCGTAATGGAAGTCTTAACCATCACAATCAGGCAAGAGAAGGTAGTCAAGGGTGTCCAAATAGGATCAGAGGAGATCAAACTGTCATTCTTTGCAGATGATATGATTGTATATCTGGAAAACCCCAGGGATTCAAATACAAAACTCCTAGAAGTGACCAAGGAATACAGCAGTGTCTCAGAATAGAAAATAAATATTCACAAATCTGTACCCTTTATATACACCAACAATAGTCAAGGTGAAAAACAATCAATGGCTCTATTCCCTTTACGATACTGCCAAAGAAGATGAAATATCTGGGAGTGTACCTAACAAAGGATGTGAAAGATCTCTATAAAGAGAACTATGAAACTCTGAAATAGCTAAAGATGTTAAACAAATGAAAAAATATACCATCATGGTTGGGAAGAATCAACATTGTTAAAATGTCTATATTTCCCAAAGCATTCTACAGATTTAATGCAATCCCTATTGAAGTACCTCTGTCATATTTTAAAAATCTGAAAAAAATTAGTACTTTGTTTTATATGGAAACAGAAAAAAACCTCGAATCGCCAAGACGTTACTCAGAAATAAAAACAAATCAGGAGGTATCATGCTATCGGACTTCAGGCTATACTATAAATCTATAGTGATCAAAACAGTATGGTACTGGCACAAAAATAGAGAGGAAGATGTATGGAATAGAATTGAAAACCAAGAGATGAACCCAGACATGTATCATCATTTGATCTTTGATAAGCCCATCAAAAATATAAATTGGGGTAAAGATTCCCTATTTAACAAATGGTGCTGGGTGAATTGGCTGGCAACTTGTAGAAGACTGAAACTGGCCCTTCACCTTTTCCCTCTAACTCTGGTTAAAGGACTTAAGACATGAAACTATAAAAATTCTTGGAGGAAAGTACAGGGGAAATACTTGAAAAAATTGTCCTGGGAGAATACTTTATGAGGAGGACCCCCCAGGCAATTGAAGGAACATCAAAAATACATTAGTGGGATCTGATCAAACTAAAAAGCTTCTGCACTGCTAAGAACACAGTAAGTAAAACAAGTAGACAACCCTCAGGATGGGAGAGGATTTTTGCAGCTTATTTCTGACAAAAGTATAATAACCAGAATCCACAGAGAACTCAGACTTGTTACTAAAAAAAAAAAAACAACCAAATGGTCCCATATCATTGTGGGCAAGAGGCATGAACAGAAGCTTCTCTGATTAAGACAGGCGCACGGACTACATACACATGAAAAAATGCTCATTATCTTTAATCATCAGAGAAATGCAAACCAAAACCACTTTGAGATTTCCTCTAACTCCAGTAAAAGTAGCCCACATCACAAAATCCCCAAACTACAGATGTTGGTGTGGATGTGGAGAAAAGGGAACACTTTTGCAATGCTGATGGGAATGCAAGCTAGTACGTTCCTTTTGGAAAGAAGTTTGGAAAGCATTCAGGAATGTAGACCTGCTGTTTGATCTTGCAATTCCTCTACTAAGGTGTATATTCAAAAGACCAAAAATCACTTGGCAACAAAGATATTTGCATCAGATTGTTCAGTGCAGCTCAATTTATAATTGCCAAGTCTTGGATGAAGCCCAAGTGCCCATCGACCCATGAATGGATTAGCAAATTATGGTATGTGTATAACATGGAATACTATGTAGCATTAAAAAAGATGGAGATGGCTCGGCGCCTTTGGCTCAAGTGGCTAAGGCGCCAGCCACATACGCCTAAGGTGGTGGGTTTCGAATCCAGCCTGGGCCCACCAAACAACAATGGCTGCAACCAAAAAATAGCCAGGTATTGTGGCAGGCACCTGTGGTCCCAGCTACTTGGGAGGCTGAGGCAGGAGACTCGCTTGAGCCCAGGA